TTTTATACCTAGAAAATTAGGTAGTACAGCACGCATTCCGCACACAGCCCGCATGTTTTCTTTGGGTTATCTCAGTGTACACATGGATGGGGGTGGAAATTGCTCAATATATGAGTTGGTTTTACAGTATCCAAAAGAGCTTTTTTTAAAATTATATCTTGACCTACTCTCTAGGTTTGCTTGTATATTTCTAATGTTAAAAAAAAAAAGTAGTGCCCTGACTTTGAAGGACCATGTGCTGCACACCAGAAGTTTCCAGGACTCTCGAAGCTCTTGGCAGTGTTGTGACGATTAGGGGGATCGGTCCTGCCCAGGGCCTCCAATGGAAATAAAATGCGAGCCACATACGGAAAGCAAAGTTTCCCAGCACTCACACTGAACAAAGAAATGAAATTGATTTAATGGTACATTTTATTTAACCCAATATATCCAGTAGCATAATTTTAACATGTGATAAGCGTTTTTAGAAAACCAAGATAATTTTGTAGTTTTTCACACTGAATCTCCAAAATCCAGTGCTGGTTGTCCTTGTGGTGCCTCCCAGGGTGAACCAGCCACATTTCCAGGGATCAGAGGTCTCCGGAAACAGCCCCATGGAGCCGTCCCTTACATTGGACAGAGGGAGAGCAAGTGTCACTGTGTTGCTTTTATCTAATGAATTTGAACTTCTTTAATTTAAATTTTATTAAATAACACACGTATGTAAAAGTTATCTTAGAAAATCAGCCAGGTATTGTGACACACACCCATAATCCCAGCACTTGGGAGGCTGAGGCAGGAGGATCCTTGCGAGTTCAAGACCAGCCTAGGCTACAAAGTGAGCTCAAGGCCAGCCTGAACTGCATACTGAGACCTTGTCTCAAAAAAAAGACAAAAAAAAAACAAAAAAAAACAAAAAAACAAAAAACAAAGACCCAACTTAATTTGTTTTTTGTGTTGAGACAGGGTCCCACTATGTAGCTCAGGTTGGCCTTGAGCTCACACTCTTTGGCAATCCTCCTGCCTCAGCCTCCAGAGTGCTGGGATTATAGGTATGTGCCATTATGCCGGGTTCCTTCAGAGCTTTAATTTTATTGCACCATTCCTTCTTTTGGAGACAAAGTATTACACACAGTTGCTATGAATTTTCAGTAAAGGCATGAATTTTCAGTAAAGGCGCAGTTGGCAACCTGATTATTGCAGTAGCACAAGGTTAGAAACAACCTGTCAGCCCATAGATCCATGCTAACTGATGGGACTGCCACAAACTTCCGATCCCCATGGCTGTTAACATGACCAAGTCTCTTTCCCAGTTCACATGGACATAGCTCCAAGTCATTCAATTACAGGAAGCAAGCTGCACAACGCCAGGATAAAGGACAGGGCATTCTAGGAATAAACCTGAAATCTGGAAGAGTCATCTGAGTGAAACTCCTCCCCAGCAGGCTCTGTGAGCAGTTCTTCTGTACACCGTTCCCAGCTATCCAGTTTATCTTTCCATGTGAACTGCAGGGTCAGCTCCTCTGATTCCTCACAACTGGTGTGCTAGTGCTTTGATGGAGATTAATTACATTAAATGAATAGATTAATTTGAAAACTATCCACAACACGCTGTATGTGGCTTGCTACTAATTTTTGTTTGTGTGTTTCTCAGCATTGTTTTAAAGTTTTATGCAAGTAAGGGCTTTCACACTGCTTTTTACATTTATTACTAGGGTTTTAATTTTTTCTATTGCTGGGCGTGGTGGCACACACGTAGTAATCCCAGCACTCAGGAGGTTGAGGCAGGAGGATTGCAGTGAGTTCAAGGCCAACTTGGGGGTATATAATAAGTTTAAAGCCAGACTGAACTGTACTGTAGACTGAGACCCTGCTTCAAGAAAATTAATTTTTCTAATATAACTACAGAATTTTATTCTAATAAAGTGTCTGACTTGTTGCTTTTTTTTATACAGGAGGCTGTGCTTGTATCCTTAGCAGCTTTCCTGGATTCTCAGCAGCTCTGAGTTTTCTTCTGGATTCTCTTGTGTGTGTGTGTGTGTGTGTGTTTTTTTTTTTTTTTTTTCTGGTATCGGGGATCGAACTCACAACCTTGCACTTGCCGGGCAGGTGCTATGCCACTGAGCTAAATCCCCAGCCCTGGATTCTTTTGGTTTACCAGCACACAATCTTCTTCGCTTCCATCAATAATAATTTCAGTGTTGCTTTTTAATATTTCTATCTTGTGTCTTTCTCTTTTCATTTGCCTTACTTAATAAGCAGTGGCTATTTTTAATAGAGTTTTGGTTTTAGCTGAAATGGAAAATATGCTTTTCTTTTTACATCCTTAAAATAAATATAACCAAGAAAGACTGTGGGAAAATGACTGTATTTCAAATGGAAAGTGGTTGCCTTATCCCGTATACTCAATTTTATTTTAAATTGATTGGTACAGTTGAGGTAATACATAATGACCACATTCATCATGGAGAACTTTTACCTGTACATGATATATCTTGATTATTCTTTTTGTCCCCATTCCTCTCCCATGTCTTCAACCCCTCTTCCTCCTTACTTATAAAACCTTTCTTTCTTTCTTTCTTTCTTTCTTTCTTTCTTTCTTTCTTTCTTTCTTTCTTTTGCAGAGAGGTTCTCACTTTACAGTTCAAGCTGGCCTTGAACTCACTTATGTAGCCTATGTTTGCCTCAAACTCAGCAACTGTCCTGCCTCAGCCTGCTCAGCCTCACAAGTGCTGGGATTAGAGGCCTGCATCACCACACCACACCAGGATTTTTTCATTTTATCCTCCTTTTATTTGTATTTTTCATATCCCTTCTTTCCTTTCCCCCTCCTCCTCCCTCTTTCTCCTGCCCATTTGAACAATTTCTTCCCATTTTCCAAAATGTAATACAATTTGACCCTTATTTATACCTTCAGTTTCTCACACCAGAGAAACAATGTGGTATTTACATATGTGTCCAATTTATTTTGCTGAAGAATACGGTCTCAAGGCACATCCATTTACCTAGAAATGTCTCAAGTTTAGCTTTCTTTATGGTAGAATCATATCCCATTGTATAAAACCCCAATATTTATTCCTATGTTGATGGGCATTTGGGCTCTTTCCAACATTTAGCTATTACAAACTGCTGCTATAAACATGTGTGCACATGTATCACTGTGGTATGATGCTTTTAATTCTTTTGGGAAAATGGTGCCTCTAGTCCTAGGTTTTTGAGGAATCTTCACGCTGATTTCCACAGTGGTTGTACCAGTCTACACTCCCAACAATGAAGAGTTCCTTTTCCCCCTCAGCCCCACCAGCATTTGGTATTGGTTGATTTCTTAATGATAGCCATTTTTCTGGGGTGAGATGGAATCTCACCTTTCTGGGTTGAGTGTTCTTGTAATTTGCATCTCTTAAATGACCAATGATGCTGAACATTTTATCATGTATTTATTTGCCATTTGTATTCATTTGAGAAGTGTATATTCATCTCAGATGCCCATTTTTGGGTTGGGTCTTTGAATTTGGGGGAGGGTCTTTTTTTTAAGTTCTTTATATACTCTAGATATTCCTTTGTCTGAGGAACGGCTGGCAAAAATTTTTTTTCACTCTTGGTTATTTCTGTTGCTGTGAAAAAGCTTTTTTAATAAGATGAGATCTTAATTTTGTAATATTTCCCATGCAATCAGGGCTTTGTTCATAAAATCTTTACCTACACCAGTGTCTTCAATAGTTCTACTGATTCTCTCTTCCAACAGATTTAGTGTTTCTGATTAATATTTAGATCTTTGATCCATTTTGACTTTAGTTTGGTGCATGGTTAGACATATGGGTGTAGTTTTAGTCTTTGGCATGTGGAAAGCCAGCTTTCCCAGCACCATTTATTAAAGAGGCCATCTTTCTTCAGTGAACATGTTTGGCCCCTTTGTCAAAGATAAGGTGGCTGAGTGTGCGTGCAGTTGTGCATCTTTTAGTCTGTTCCATTGATCCTTGGGTCTGTTTTGTTTGTTTGTCTGTCTGCCAGTACCATTTTTTTTTTTTTATCATGGTAGCTTTGTAGTATAATTAAGTCAGGGATTATAATGCCCTTGCCTTGCCTGTGTTGCCTAGAATTGCTTTTGCTATTCTAGGTCTCTTGGATTCCAAATGAATTTTAGGAATGTTTTCTCTCATTCTGTGAGGAATGTTATTGTTATTTTGATTGTTGCATTAAATATGTATAGAAATTTGGGGAGTATGCCCAAAATAAGGGATATCTTTCCATTTTCTGTTATCTTTTTTGATCTCCTTTTTTAGAGTACTGTAGTTTTCAATGTGGAGATCTTTTACTTCATTTGTTAGACTGAGTCTTAAGTATGTCATTTCTTTATGCTATTATGAAAGGTGTTGTTGCCCTAATTTCTTCCTCAGTGAGCTTGTTATTCATATGCGGGAAGGTCATTGATTTTAATTCTTTCTGTTTAATTGCTCTGGCTAATGTTTCCAGAACTATATTGAGTAATAGTGATGACAGTGGACATGCTTGTATTTTTCCTAATTTTAGAGTGAAAGCATTCACTTTTTGACCATTTAGTATGATGTTGGGTATTTGTTTGTCATAGATGGCTTTTATCAGATTGAGGTAAAGAACATCTATTGCTGTGACACAGCAGGGAAGAGGGTTTAAGGAACATCAGGAAGGCAGAAAAGATAGAAGTAGGCGAGGGGTCAGCTGAGTGAAGTCTAGAGGAAGTGGAAGCAATCTTTCTGTCTTGCTCTTGGCAGTATGACTGGAAAGAATTACTTGCGAAGTAAGTTGCTTATGCAGTCTGAACTCCCACAACGGCTGATGCTCTTGGCCACTCTGGCTCTTCTTGGCCATAAATATTCGAGAGTTGCTAAGAAGACAATTGTCACTTCCTGTAACGATGACAGTGAGGTCCCACCTTGCGGTCTCTGGGTGTTCCTGTCTATTGATGCACCCGTTGCTCTGAGACGTGTCAGTGGGGGTAGTTATACACTCATACATTGTGGTGTTTGTTTCCCTCCCTTTAGGATTCACTCAGAGGGCAGCCTCGTGGATGGCCCCGAAGCAAGCCTAATGGAACAGGACAGAAGCAGCCATGTGGCGGGCAGCACACTCAGTTCATTCCTGATCCCAACGACAGCTCCTGCCTGCCAGCTCGAGCCCCTGGCAGCCAAGCTGCAGAACGGAAGTCCGGTCCCCGAGCGGCCTCACCCTGAGGTGAACGGGGACACCAGGTGGCCGACCCTCAAGAGCTGGTCTGGGGTCTCCCCCAGCGGCCACGCCAGTCCTGACTTCCTCCACGAGGGCAGAGGCTTTTCCAGGTGTCTGGAAAATGGGAGCATAAAACGCACAGTGAGTGAACCATCTCTCTCTGGGCTCCATCAAAACAAGAAACTGAGACAAGACCAAAAGGCCAACGGAGAAAGAAAGAGCCTCGGGGAAAGCCAAGAAAGAAATCCAGCGGGAAGCAGCAGCCAACCACAGGCCTCCCATGTGAATGAGAACAGAGAATCCGTGAGCTCCGAAGCCCTAGAAAATGCATCTGAAGATCTCGCCACTTTTCTAACACAGGACTGCAATGGGTTGGAAAACCCAGAGCATCCGGTTCTGAGTGAGCAGGAGCAGAACGATGCTAAGTACCAAGACGAGAACATTGAGTTACTTCTGAAGAACAAGGCAGCGCTCATACCTAATGGTGCTACAGATTCTGCCTCTTCCCTGGAAAATGCACACAGTGAACTCCTGGAAAAAACACTGTCCCAATGCGATCCAGCTTGTGTTTCCACTGCAGTGCAGAAAACCACATCTCACAGCAATGCCATCGACGGCCAGACTTCTCCCGAGCCGTCCTGTGAGGTCACTCACCCATCGCATACCTCAGGGCAGATCAAGGGCCCACACCCCTCGGGCTCTGAGCTGCCCCCAGAGCCAGCTGCGGTGGGGACCGAGGCCTGTGACACGGGTCATGCCAGGCCGCCAGCTGCGGTGCCAGATACCTGTCCCCTCCAGAGGCCGGCACAGCTGCAGCCACAAGAGCCAGCACTGGAGATCTGTCTGCGTCCTGCGCACACCTGTGATACGCACGGGAACACGGTGCTGGTGTCTGTGAAGGGGCTGTGTGCAGGCTCCAGCAGCAACTTGCAAGCTGCTGGCAGCAGCTCTGAACAGTATTCACAGCAAAACGAAACGAATGGTGCTTACTTCAAGCAAAGCTCAATGTTCCCTAAGGATTCTTTCTCTGCCACTACCACATCTCATCCGCTGCAGTTGCTTCTTCCTCCCCCTCCTCCTCTGCCTCCTCCTCCTCCTTCCACAGGAAAAGCTGCTCTGCAGGATGTGGCTTTGGAAGATCACCACCAGTCCCCCAACCAAAGCAACGTAACTCTCCTAAGCGAAGTGAAAACAGAAGCTCGACCTGAGGCTCCACCATCCCGGAGTCCCAATCCTTCGCTTCAGGAGTCCAACCCCAGCCTGGGGCTTGCAGAGGGGCCTCAGAGTAATGGTGTCCATCAGAATGGCGTAGCCATGCCAGGGCCTGTGCTCCTGTGTGCTGAGAAAGCAAAGCCAACCCCAGACCATCTAGACCGTCTCAAGCACAAGCTGCCAGTCCTTGCTCGTGGCAGAGAGGTGCAGGACCCCTGCCCAGCACAGCTAGGACACCAAGAGCCGGAGATTCTGCAGAATCAAGACCAGCAACAGACTCAAAGTCTTGCACTCCCAGCCCAGCACTATGTGAAACCGGGATGGATTGAGTTGAAGGCCCCTCATTTTCATCAAGGTGAACATCATCCAAAATGCAAGGAGCCATCCCTGTGCTCCACGCGTCAGTATCAGCCCACACCTGCTATGCAGATGACCTCCAGACCGTACACTGGAAACTCCACCATGCCCGGGGGGCTCTCAAGGCCAGCTTATGCCCCACAGGCAGCGCCAGCGCAGCAGAAGTCCCAGGTGTTCCCCGGTGACACAAATCACGGGCAGCTGCAAGGTACGGTGGACCAGCATCTCCAGTTCCCCCTCCTCTCCTCCCAGGGCCGCATCTCCAAGACAGAGCCCCTGCCTGAAACCTGTGTGCAGGCGCTGTGCACCCCTCGATATCATTTCCAGCAAGTTGCAGATCCCCAAGCTGAGAGACTCCAGTCCCCAGTGGGAAAACAGCACTTGAATATTCAGGCTTCAGCGCCGGAGCCGCTTTCTAACTCGCACCTTTTGCAACACAAGCCCCCTAAGCAGGCAGCACAAACACAACCACCCCAAAGTCCACAATTTCCTCAAAACCAGCAGCAGCAGCAGCAGCAGCAGCAGCAGCAGCAATTACAAATGAAGACTAAAGAACAAATGCCTCAGACTTTTGCTCATCCCCAAGCTAACAATGATCTGCAAGGAGAAAGGTCATTCTTTGGCCACATTAAAGTGGAAGAATGCTTCAGTGGGGAAAGTCAGTATTCAAAATCAAGTGAGTTCCAAACTCAGAACACCCAAACAGGACTGGAGCAAGGACAGAATGTGAGTAGTAGAAATTCCCCTTACGAGCAGGTCTTGAAATCGAGTCCAAGCAAAACCCAGATTTCCCGTTCCAACGGTGCACACTTAGTTCCGGAGAATAAAGAACAAAGTATTCGTTCTCAGCTCTTTGCGGGAAATAAGACCCAACGCTTGCATCCCATGCAATATTTTCCAAGCAATGTGACTCCGGGACAAGGTATTCTGTACAGGTGCTTTCAAGAACCAGAGCAGCAGCAGCCACAAGCTGCAGCTCCCCAGGTATATACAAGCAGAAACCAGGACACGTCTACACTGCAGGCTGCGCAGCTGGTGCAGCAGAGATACTTGACACAGAACCAAGCCAAGGTTCTCCCTGTGCCCGAGCAGGCACAGAACGCAACGCAGACCCCTCCCCAGAAGGACATTCAGAAGCACGCGGCACTGAGGTGGCACCTCTTACACAGGCACGAGCAGCAGCAAGCGAAGCAGTCCCAGGCAGAGCCTTGCCATGGCCAGATGAACAGGCCGATTAAGCTAGAACCTGGGTCCAAGCCCCCTGCCTGTATGCGCCCTGTGTCCGTGCAGCAAGATCCCAAAACATGGAAGAAGCAAACCAAGCAAGAGGTTCCCGCCTTGAGCTGTGACCACGCGCGGCCCAAGAGCATCCTTGAGACCATGGAGCAGCATCTGAAGCAGTTTCAGGTCAAATCATTGTTTGACCATAAGGCCCTGTCGCTCAAATCACAGAAACAAATAAAAGTTGAGACGTCAGGGCCCCTCACGGTGCTATCCAGACAAGCCAGTGCGGCAGAACTCAACAGTCACGCCTCTGCGGCGGAGCCGCAGACAACTCCTTCTGAAAAGACCCCGACCAAAAGAACAGCTGGCTCTGTTCTCAATACTTTCTTAGAGTCACCTTCCAAATTACTAGATCCCTCTATAAAGAATTTATTGGATGCACCCGCCAAAACACAGTATGATTTCCCATCGTGCCGATGCGTAGGTAAGTCCAGAAACGGCCCGAAGCACATGGTGCTTCCCTGGAATTAGAAGATTTGTCTACAGATACGGGATTTTCCTTTTTCCTTTTCTTTTTTTCTTTTATTTTCTTAAATATTGAGTCTGGGAGCAATTTTTAAAGGCTCATAAAGCTGTGCAGCTTCCATTTTTGTCTTTTAAATTATAGATGTTTGTGCCATGTGAGAGAAAACCTCACTCGCATGTTTTTTGCAGAAAATTTTTCCCCTCCATTTACACCCTTTAACATAGAAATGTATGTGTTTTACATTACTCCACCTATTCAATTCTGAAATCATTCTCCTGGACAGACATACAGCCAGGGGAAAAAAGGAAAAGTCTATTAACATTAAAGAGTAACCTCCACATGCTAACTAATGTAGGAGCCTGCAATTTTTTAAAAATTCAAGCTTAAGTATATTAGTAGTTCTGCCAGATTTCTGGGTAATGAGGAAATTATTCCTTTATTCTTGGTGAGTTGGGGAAATTCTAATGCTGAGGTCCTGGGTGCTCATGAAGTTACCCCCTTTTCCATTTATACACTTAAAAACATTGTGATTCATACTAATTTTGGTTCCATTTTCTCTTTAACATTTTATCTTTCTGGATTAAAAAAAAATGGGATTTTTTTTTTTAAGACAACAGCTTTTTCTTCAAATGGAGAGTATGTGATAGGTCTGAGAATCAGGAAACATTTTTGCCAGTTGATGTGGATCTGCACATGGGCAGAGACCTTAGCTACAGAATCCACTTGGCTATGGTAGAAGATCTTTGAAGGGACAAATGTCAAAGGTGCCAGGTGATGGCACCAGCCCTGTCACCCTGTACACTTCATGGAATGATGGAGGGACCCTCCTGTGTGGCTGGTAAAAGTGCCACTTGCGTCCTCCTAATCGCGGGTAGTTCCAGCCTCCCTGGCTGGCTGCCCCTTGTCCTCGCCAGTCCCAGCCCTCCATCTCCAGTGCTTGGCAAACTGCCTCTTCCTTTTACCCCAACTCCCATCAAACTGCTCTAATGCACACAAGCATGGGTCTGGGTTGAATATTCTTATTTTCAAAGCAGAGTAATTAAATCTTTGGGAAAATGACCAGAAAAGGGCGCCCTTGACAGTAAACCTAGTAATACTTAGGGGAGGGGTGGGATGGGACAGGAAAAAAAATGTTTTTAAATCTTTTTATATCCAAGTGCCAGGAAGACTTCCAGTTAGCTTTAAAGTTTTTATTTTCAGTTTAAAAAACTAAATTATATTACATATAATACATTCTAATTCCTCCACTATTTTCTTCACTCAGTCACACTTAATTGGTTTAAAATAATTCTCGTACCATATCTGAAATGTAATTTAATAATTTTTTCCAGTGGCCATCATGTACACATACTTACTTATTTGGTACATTTTCTAATAGACCAGTCCATCAATTTACTCATTTTAAAGAAAGAAAAATTTGAAAGTCACTTAAAGCCCTTACTGTGGCACTGGGGGATAATCTTTGTGGATGTAGCCTTTATATTTAGTATAATTGAGGTCTAAAATAATAATCTTCTATTATCTCAACAGAGCAAATTATTGAAAAAGATGAAGGTCCTTTTTATACCCATCTAGGAGCAGGTCCTAATGTGGCAGCTATTAGAGAAATCATGGAAGAAAGGTAATTAATGCAAAGGCACAGGGCAGATTACCGTTTATCCTTTTGTACATGTCAGATTTCCCCGGCCTTCCCGCACAACGCAGTGAACAATTGTAAAACCGAGTGATTATTAGCAAGCTCAGCTCCCCTGGGGTTACCAACACCCCACACTGTGCATTCACCAGACAGTCACAATATTTGACAAAGCTAATCGTCTGCTCGCTGGCACGGGCTGCCCACTGAGACAGATGCCAGCAAACCCAGGCACAAATGAGAATCAGCCACCGGGGTGCGAACAGCAGTGTAAGAAGGGAGGCAGTGAGTTCACTCCCCTAGCACTGTGAATGGAAAGTTGCCAAGAGACAGAGTCCATCCGTAGCTGCTTTGTCCCTGTGTCTTGTTTTTGTCGTCAGTCCCAGGAATGCAAGCATTTGCCTGTGCGACAGCTAACTTCGGCAAGACCCTAGGAGCAAGCTGATCAGTGCAGAGGGCCTTTGCTAGTGACATCAACAGCCCTATCACTCCAGTAGAGCATCCGTCCATGGAGGGGACAGTCCATTAGCATCCATGTGGGCAGCAGGAATACACCAGTATCATTCTTGCTCTAGTTCCAAAGTATTAACTTCTGAATTACCATGTAGAGACTCACTCAATAATCACCCAGCCAGGACCCTGGCAGAAGTAGTGAATTTCTGTGATTGCACTTTTATTATTAGCAAGCGTTACATAGTGTTTTTATCATAAAGGGAAATAAGTCTATTTCTGGAACTATCCCATATTTTCAGAGTGGCTGGGTACTAATTATTGGCCATTTCCCTTTTTAAAAATATGACAGTTGTCCTTTGAAGGACAACTCTAGCAAAAAAATCTGTGATTCCTTAAGATTTAAAACAGCTAAGTTTAGTAAAGGGCAAAAATAAAATAGCACATATTTTATAAGACCAAATGTAGCAAACTAACTTAAATTTTTTGCCTTATGAAATTATGTATAAAAATAAGCCTTCCCGTTATTTTCACCCCTCAAAGTTATATAAAGCAGTTCATTACAGTTTTCAGTATATTTTGATACTGAAGAAAAACCAAGACTATTATCCAGTTTGCTTGGCTTAGAACTGTTTTCTTTTTTAATAAATTAAACCATTCATTTTCTCAGGATGTGGTCATAGAATAAGATTATGCTCAAATGTTCAAATATTTTGGCTGCTTCTTGAGTCATGTGCTAATTGTGTCTGTGTGTATTTCTGTGGGTTTCTTTAAGGTTTGGACAGAAGGGTAAAGCTATTAGGATTGAAAGAGTCATCTATACTGGTAAAGAAGGCAAAAGTTCTCAGGGATGTCCTATTGCTAAATGGGTAAGTGTGACTCGACAGTGCATTTGGTTCCTAATCGTGGGAATTTTGATTAACCCTGAGAGTCAGGTCACCAGGTCAAAGCTCAGGACAACATTTACCATGTGTTCTCTGTGAAGAAAGCAGATTCATCTAAAGATCCCGAGTGGACTGTTAAATTGAAAGCTTCAGTAGTGAGCTGAAGGTCCATTCTGTTATCTGCTTAAAAAAAAAAAAAAATTCCTGAAATATGAAGACATAGTCTTTTATCTTTTAAATGTGCCAAATGTTTTTAATGTGGTCATTAAGAAGCCCTTAAACTCAGCCCCTGTACATCTTATCTAGCTGTAGCTTAATTCTTTAGGGTTTTTTTTTGTTTTTTGTTTTTTGTTTTTCCATTTTTTTGTTTTGCTTGTTTGGTTTTCTGAGACAAGGTCTTGCTGTGTAGTTCAAGAACCCACTGTGTAGCCCAGGCTTGGCAATCTTCCTGCCTCAGCCTCCCAGAGTGCTGGAATCACAGGCCTACACCACCTGCACCATGCCAGCTTTAGCTCTGGCTTTCATGGCAGGTGGACTGCGTTTTGGATGCAGCCTGCTCAGCCCCGAGGAGTGTGAATCCCCGCATCTCTTGGGTGTAGAGGCAGGAAAGGCTGTTGCCAGTGCAGCCGCATGTCGCCCTTCCTTGGGCCTAAGCACGAATGGGGGTGGGGAGTGAAGCCGTGCTGCCCCGCCCGCAGTGACCCTGCCTTGTCGGGTGGCGGGTGCGGGGCGGCTGGCGACCCGCAGGTGATCCGCAGGAGCTCGCCCGAGGAGAAGCTGCTGTGCCTAGTGCGGGAGCGCGCGGGCCACGTGTGTTCGGCGGCTGTGATCGTGGTGCTGATCCTGGTGTGGGAGGGGATCCCGCTGCCCCTGGCCGACCAGCTGTACACTGAGCTCAAGGAGACGCTGCGCAAGTCCGGCACGCTCACCAACCGGCGCTGCGCCCTCAACGAGGAGTAAGTGATCCCTGGCCCGGGCATGGGTGGGGTGGGTGGTTTTGCTTTACTTGAAACAAGTCCCACTGTGTAATTCTGGCCAGCCTGAACACTCAGCAGTCCTCTTGATCCTCCTGCCTCGGCCTCCTGGGGCTGGAATTCCAGGTAGGCAGTTCTCTTTCACATTTATAAAGTGGGGAGCCGAGCACAAGCCTCACTGTTAGTGTAGGCAGCTTCACATATTGCTAGCATGAATAATTGAGGGGATTACAATAAACAGCGTCTCACACGCTCAGGCAGTGCAACCAGGAGTTAGCAGGCCTAAGCATCCATACCACATGACCTCAGTTGTACCAGGACCGGGACAGTCCGTGTGCATCCTTGTGCCACCAATACCTTCCTAAGTGCGCGCACGACTCTTGTCCTGCCCCCTCAGATGAGAGAAGTTCGGTAAAAGCTCTGGGAGTCCCTCCTCAAAGAACTTTAGATCTCAAGCATGAGTGTGACATTTGTAGAAGTTCTGTACAGACAGTCCTTACTTCCTTTCAGGCACGCTCAGTTTCCAAAATAGTAACCTTGTGGCTTCCATTTACACAGCTAAATAAGGAGAAATTCTTGACGAAGGCTAAACACTGTTTTCTAGGAAAATGAAAATTTGGAGTAGGGATGACAAGGGTATGCATTTAAATACGGTTAGTGCAGCCACTGGTTAGTTTTTGTTTTAACTTAGCAGGAAGCCAAGCCGTGGCTTGGAGGAAGCTTCCGGTTCTTCTATACCTTTGCTGCACTACCCCTGCGGATCCCGGCACATGCTCCCCAGTTCTCACACTACACTGAAATGGTCACTAGTTACTTTTATCAGAATTGCCTCAGAAATAATTTTTAGTTTTGCACTTTTGGTCTAACTCTTCATCTGGCAAACTACAAAGCACTTTGCGGAGCTTGTGGCAATGCCCACCGCAAGGGCGCTGAGCAAATCTATCCTTTTGCTGACTGTAGCTGAACCTGGTGGCTTCGCTACCATTGTATCAACACAGGGGTGTGCTCTCTGGGTTTTGGGGAGCAGGGCAGTGATTAGTTCTCTTAAGTTATCTTCATAATATGGAAGTGCGGGCTGGCTTTCTGTGATCACTCTAAGTTTGAGGGCATGAGAGTGGCTGCCGCCATCACAGGAGTGCAGTGATCACTTGCAGCGTAGGCACTGCCAGTATGTCACACCTGAACTGCTTTAGAAATGAAATACATTTTAGTCTATCCTATGCTTGTTCTTCTGAAAAAAGGATGCATAGGACCTTTGAATCAGAAAGAAGATAAGAGTGCCTGACAGCCTGAGTTCCCATTGGAAATAGTCCCTCCTCGGGAATTCAGTAACACTGCATGATTGATTGACTAATTGATGTAAATTTGTTTTGCTGTGCTGGGGAATTGAACTCAGGTCTTTATGCATGCTAGGTAAGCCTTTATGACTGGGCCACATCCCAGACCCTAACATTTTGTTATTTTGCTTTCTTTTCTTTATTTATTTATTTTTTTTTTGGTGGACCATTATGTTTTGTTTTTGTTTTTTGGTATCAGGAATCAAACTCAGGACCTTGCACTTGCCAGGCAGTTGCTTGTGCTGCTGAGCTATCTCCCCAGTCTGCCACTACACATTTTAAAAGCAGAATTCTTAGGCTTGATAGGTTGAAGTTGTAACACACTGAAGAACTTCTTACAAAAATGACAGTTGTGGTTGTGTTTAAATTCCTTGAAGATTCATGCAGACTTTCACATTCCTTGTTGAAGAATTTTATGTATCTCTGATATTTTTCTCTTGAAGATGTTTTCTTAATTTCCTATAATTACCTTTACTTGAATTAGAAGTGGACATATACAAGGAAATTTTATGTTCAGAGCTTCCCTACATTGTTATGTAGGATTTAAAAAACTATGAATAAGGATTGGCCCAGAATTGCAAAACGTTCTACATGGCTGAAGCAACCCAAATAAGGGGGAGTACAGAACTTGCCAGAGACACGCTGCAGCGTAAGAATCTGAAAGGTCTGTCAGTCCAATTTGAGTTTTGTCTGGTATTTCATAGTAAAGGTGTATACTTATTCAGATGATGTTGAAGCTGAGGTTTCTGCATACTTGGAATAATTCCCTAAAATTAGAAATACTTGAAACGAGATATACATGATTAAAACAGACACTTATCTAGTAGCAGTAGAGACCTCACCCAGAGATAGCTTTTGCTGTTTCTTCTACCTTGACTTTTTGCCAAGAATGACTAATCTCAGATTGGGGCTGTGGCCTCCGTTTTGTGCTCAAAGCTGTGCACACTTGTTACTGAGTTCTTACAAGTCCCTGCCACACAATCCTGACCGCCACGGTGAGCCTGGGAAGTGCTCTGGGGGTGCCTTGCCTGGGATATCTGAGATTGACTTCTGCATTTCCTGTGGGCCAACCCAAGTGTTTCTCCTTTAAAGATTTCTCTATTTATGACTAAGCCTAGTCATGAGGAGTGGGGGGTGGGGTGAGCATCGCAGGAGTTCATCTGTCATTGAAAGGAACTCAAAGCCAGAAAGACTTCTGCCACACTGGCCACTGTTAAATGTTTGCAGAAACGTTATATTATGAAATTTTCCAAACATACCTAGAAGGAAGAATAAAATAGAACAAACCCCATGGACTTACCACACAGCTTTGCTATTAATATTTTATCAATTTTTTTCATATATACTTCTCCCCATTTTAAAAATATATCTTGAACTACTGGGTATTGAGCCTAGGAATCCTGGGGATTGAACCCGGGAATGCTTTGCCAGGCTGCATCCCCAACCTTGTTTTTTTTTTTATTATTATTTTTTTCTTATTTTGGAAGAGGGTCTTACTAAGCTTCTAAGTCTGGACTAAACCTCAGTCTCATACCTCAGCCTCCCAAGTAGCTGGGAATGCAGGCATGTGCCACCACTCACGGCTGCTCCTATTTTATTTTTTTTAATATTCCTACGCTAACTAGTGTTTTAAAGAGGAGCAAAGATACCACATCATCTCATGTAAGCACTTGTATCTCTAACAGATAAGAAATTTTTAAAATAAACCTAGCTTCTCCTACTTCTTTGAAAAGAATGCTTTGTGCTAATATTGTCTGGACAAGATATCATGCCTGTATC